TAGCAAACTTTCACTGTTATGACCATTGAGACAAGATACACCTTCCTACTAGTCCAGTAGTCTCTTGTACATTGTCATTCAGTTAATTTTCACACAGTGACAGGTGCTGATACATTGTGATGAACGTATAAAGGTTATAACTAAACATTAAATTATCAACTACGAGTTTTCTTGTATATGTACAGTAACTTTTAAAGGGCAATGTCACTTTCAAAAAATTAAAATAGCAAAAAAAGAACTATTGAAAGTGAGCACTGTGTATTTCAAGAAAAATGGGAAATTGCTTATTCCTGTTGTGAAATAGAAGGTAAAATTACATGTTTGATTTGTGGGCAAAATAGTGTTCCACTTTAGGTAATTATATTGAAATTATTCCTAAATAATAAATGGAATTAAATTTCCTTGTATCAAATTCTAATGTATATTTCTATTTTGAAGTGCGGCCCTGGACTATTATTTATAGGGCTGAGGTGGCCCTCTGTACAAGTTGAGTTTGACATGCCTGCTCTAGAAGCACTAACATGTGAGCACAGATGAATATTTAATCCTCAGTTCTCAAAAGTAAGCTGGACTCTATTTGTCTGACCAGGTCATAAACAGTCATATCTAACTGTAAATAGTATATAGTAAATAGTAAATAAATAGTAAATAGTAAATAGTTTTGGTTTCAAACTGAAGATCAAACTGTCAGCACTCCCAAAGGGAGCACGTGTCCTGCCTTATATAAATTTTAAGATTCGGCCAACATGGCGTGCTACTTGCTGTAGATATATATAACATTCGTCCCTTAAAGGTTAACACTTTGCGGACTGGTGGCATATTTTTATGCCCAGCGCTTTTAAAAGTGGCAGACCTGTGGCATATTATTATGACTTTAGGACACGTTATGTTGAAACACATTATACCTTGCACTGGTGCGTGATAGACCTCTTGAATATTTGTTTCATAGTCAGTAACATGACCCCACTGTTTATGACCCAACTCTTCTCCTTTCTCACTCCAAAAAAAATGCCTTTGTTCATCTTCCAGCTGCATGCACCAGCCAGGAAGTTACTAGTGCAAAATGGATCAAGGTCGGAAGAGGTTGAGGTCCAAGCGTTTTCTCGGAGAACAAGAAATATCTGACTTGTTCTCTGATGAGCTATCTGACATCCCTTGTGAGTCTGCTAGTGATAGCGACTCACAATCTGATAGTGAGTGTGGCAGGGGTGAACAAAAAATTGTGGCCACAGACAGTGAAAATGAAAGTGACAGTAGCTCTGACAAAAGTGTGAGTAGCAACATTGTGGGGACAGCCACATGGGTTAGAGTAGACAAAACGCCTGCTTTGGGACAGTTTACCGGAAATCCAGGGGTGAAGCAAATTCCATCTGACCCAACGCAAGTGTCTGAAGTAGCAGAACTGTTTTTGGAGATAGTTTCTTTGACATGCAATGTCAGGACTCTGTGACTCTCGGGTGATATGCGGAAACATACCCTTGTGAAAGTTGTGAAGAGTGAACATGCCAAGGGGAAGCAGCCTTCTAGGTGATGCTGTGTTTGTGCAGTACACAACAAAAGGAGTATGACTGTCTACATGTGCAAGTTCTGTGTAATGACACTTCACAAAGGGGAATGTTTCCAGAAATATCACACTCTCAAGCACTTCTAAGAGAATTGGTAAGTGTTCTCCAAAAATTTAGTTCATAAAATTAATTAGGAGACTTTTTATTAATTTTAAAGTGAACAGTGCACAAGTTAGGGTAGTAGGTTTAAAAATGCTGGTCCCCAGGGTGATTTAAATATTTAAATTGCCGGTCCGCAAAGTGTTAGGCATAGGGATAACTTTACATATTTTTCCTTTTCACCCTAGACCAAGGCCTAGGCAGGTACTGAGGCACATTTTTATCTAGACAGTAATGTCCAAGGAGTTGGTCCTCATAAAAATGTTTGCGTTAGGTTAGTAGCAGGAGCATCAAAACTGCCTTTTCTTGCCTTTAATTATGTTCAATAACACGTGTTTACTTTTTACAGCCACTTGATGATGCTTTGAAAACTGAACTGGAAGCTGCATTGAAGTCTTTTCTGAAGCAGGGACAAAAACTGCTACTGACTGTGAAAGTAGATCCAGCTATCATTGGAGGATTAGTTGTCAGTATTGGTGACAAATATGTTGATATGAGCATTGCTAGTAAGATTAAAAAATACACAGATATCATTACAGCAGCTGTTTAAATGAACTGTATCATAGAGGTGATTCATATAATATTATGTACAAATGCATATATTAATGGTAGTTTATTTAGTTCCACAGTGTGTTGCCTAAAGGTCTGGTATTAAATAAAATTTACCTGACATGTTTTAACAATTGTACTTTCAGCATTTCAGAACATGAAAATTGTCTGAAATCAAAATGGCTGTCCCATTTTATTTATTTATGGTTTATGTAATAATGCTGTTAGCGTCTCATTGGTATCAAGCAGTATCATGGTGACTATTGACTTGAAAAGTATGTGGAAGAAAGTGGTCTATTATTGATTTTTTTTATTGCTAGTGGCGTGGGACTAAGTTCCTTGTACTGCGGCCACTTCTGGCCTATTGTACCAGCCTCAAATGATCGTGGAGCAATTGGTGGAATGAAGATTGGCAGGGGAAACCGAAGTACTCGGAGAAAACCTGCCCCAGCGCCACTTTGTCCACCACAAATCCTACTTGACAAGAAAGTGGTCCAGTTATAGGTACTATACTGGCATTTGCATGGAGGGACTGAGGAAGACCATGAAGAACTTCATTATAGTGTGTTCTACATCCTTTCAGATACATTATTCACAAGTCATCCTATCACTTGATGCTATACAGTCCTAGCAGCTGTAAGCATAAGTAAACAAATAAGGTAAGCGGCCTCCGTAGTCTAGAGGTAACGTTCCCACCTCATGACTCGTAGTACACGGGTTCAAATACCTGGCGGAGGTCGTCGAATTTTTAAGGGCGGAAAAATTCAGGGAACAAGTCCTCCGGGAGGGACTTTAAGCCGTGGGTCCCGTGTCGTAGCTTTACGGCACGTAAAAGAACATCATACCTCCAAAGGAGG